AGATGACTTTCCTTTTCAAGACCTTCTAATGTCTCTACATGCAGCTGAGGCGGCCATCTTGAACCAGGCTGCGATAAACGGTTCCTTCAGTGGCGGGTGATCATGTAAAGACTGAAGGGTCAGTTTTAATTTCTGGTCATAATTAATTCTCTACAGTAGAAATAAAAGTATGAACTTTGATCAACTGTGAACTCTTCTTGTTTGTCAACGTAATAAAAATATTGTAAATAACGATGAAGGAACATGAAAGAAGTCAGCTGGACGTTCACTGCAGATTAATATTCTGATTATTTACATCATTTATGATTTAAAACTCAGAGAGAAACTGGAACTAATCAGAGCAAACATGAATACAATAAAACTGTCGATCTGTTGAGCAGATGGAACGAAGCAGAGTCAGGATCTGACCTGAGGTCAGTCAGGGTTTCATCAGATGAAGATGAAGATGAAGAACACTCACCTGATTTAGTCACAGCAGACCGGTAATCATTACCAACGTTGTTCACGCAGTACCTCTCCTTCTGAGCTCTCCTCACAACGACCTCTGAACCGTGGTTCCACCTCTGAGCGTTATTAATTCCGAGCTCCGTGTATCCAACATAGTGACCCACAGAACTGTTGAACCTGATGTACTCCTTCTTCTCGTAGTACATGGAGTAGATGTACTCGATGTCCTTCGGATCAGGGGAGCTGAACACACAACGATCCAATACATAGTTCACAAATCCATCTGAGGAACAGAACCAGAACAGAACCTCATCAATCATACTGATCACGTTTTATAGATGGTGATGAAGTATTATTATTATTAGTAGTATTATTTATTGATCAGTGATTACTATAGTAGTTATTGATCAGAGTTCATCCTGTGCAGCTGTCAAGTCTGATCAAGTTTAAAAGGTATCAATCACTGATCAGTTTATTATTACCTGTAGATTAAACAGTGTTTGAAAGCAGAGTAATGATCATTAATCAGAGTATTGATCAGTAATCAGAGTATTGATCAGTAATCAAAGTATTGATCAGTAATCAGAGTATTGATCAGTAATCAAGAGTACTGATCAGTATATTCCTCCTACCTGCAGGCCAGACGGTGATGAAGAGGAGGAGGCAGCAGAGGACTGATGAAGCCATGGTTCTGTCTGGGTCCAGCTGATAAACTGAGTCTGTCGGACTGAGAGCCGCTGTTAAAGCGGAGCGAGTGATGACGTCACGCAGCGTCATCAGTTACCAGGTAGAACAGCCTGGCTGCAGCCTGCTGAGAGGAGACATTCGAGGCTTCAGGCTGGTCTAAAGAGTCTGTCCACATATTAAAGGTTCTGCTGTAGAGCCTCGTGTTCCTGTGGTACTGATCCAAACTTTACCTCAACCTGGATGTTCTGACGATAAATCAAAGAGTAATAACTTGATTTTAGGTCACAGTTTTCTGTTCTTTGTAGAACTGATCCGATCCTGATCAATGGTTCTGGTTCTGATCCATGGTCTGATTCTGGTTCTGCTGCTCAGGATGGAAGTTCACATGAAGTAAAGACTTAACATTCATTCGTTAGTCCCACTGAGCCTCGAGGACTCATTTAGAGAGAGACCTGATTTGAACAGAGTGATGACAACAGTGGAAAATCATAAAAGAGGCGTACAGATTAAGAATAAATGAAAGAAAATGGTATTTAAAAAAACAAAACAAAAACAAAACCCAGCTAGATTATAGGAGGTGTAAAAAACTAAAAACAGGAACATGTCTGTTGGTTCTTGCAGGAACTGATCAGATGTTTGAAGCCACTTAGAGAGGTCAAAGGTCGAGAGCTTCAGGTCTTTTTACAAGATATTCCAGGAAATAATATTTTTTTATAATGTATTGAGGTTTAGCTCAGCTGCAAGAACATTTTTGTATGCATGCGTTTGACTCTGTTAGCAAAATATCCCATGAACAAGTGGGCAGAGTTCATGTGGTTTGGGTCAAACTGAGACTGATGAAGTTAGGTCTGATTAAATGTTACGTTGGGATATCAGCGCATGTACCGGAGCAACACTCTCATTACTGAGAACGAGGCCCTGATCTGTGCGTCCAGCTCAGCATCCTCCAGGAACAAGGCTTTTATTATTTTCATATTTCACAGTCCCAGCAGTTCTTCCTCTGATTTTATCCTCAAATGGTGTCCCTATTGAATTCATCCATCCATACATTATCTTTCATCCTCTTCTTCCATTTTGGGTCACGGGGGTCACCGGTGCCCATGTCCAGCAATCACTTGTGAGGGGCGGGGGACACCCTGGACAGGTCCATCACAGGGACACACAGAGACAAATGAGACAAACAACCATTCACTCTCTCTCTCTCACCTAGGGACAATTTAGAGTTACCAATCAGTCTAACATGCATGTTTTTGGTCTGTGGGAGGAAACCGGAGTACCTGGAGAAAACCCACGCATGCACGGAGAGAACATGCAAACTCCACCCAGAAAGCCCCCCGGACCGGGATTTGAACCGGGGACCTGCTTGCTGAGAGGCAGCAGCTCTACCAGTTGCACCACCGTGCTGCCTTAATCAGTTTGTTGATTCCTATAAATATTTGTGTATCTTGGTCGACTCACATCTCTCTTTTAAGCTCCATGTGGAAAACTTGGTAAAGAAACTGAAAATTAAACTGGGTTTCTTTTTCAGAAACAGATCCTGTCTAACCCTGAACCCTGAGGAACGCCTTGTTTCTGTGACTTTCCTTCCCTCCATCGATTATGGTGACATTATTTACATGAACGCTCCTACTGTCAGAGATCTGATGGCAGAGGATCCCACACACAAACTCAGAATGGTTTTAAAATGTTTATTGAATGAATAAACAGCTTCTGATGATTCGGGTCCAGAGCTGGAACTGTGTCTAAAACGATACAGAGGAGAGGTTAGTGTTTTGACAGAATAACAACAGTTATCTGAATACAGACG